CGACGGAAAGCCTCACAAAAGATGACTTTCCCGATGAAGGACGCACTGTAGAATCATACAGCACCAATACTGCGACTAGGCCTAACATGCTGCGAACAATGAACAGCAAAAGAAATGGGATATAAAGCACCATTTTCAGTACCTTCGACACAAAAACGTACAGAGGAACCAGCAACTGCTACAATACTTTGAGGTGCTGTTTACCAATGTTGAGGCGTGGACTTTTAACAGAACAAACAAGAAACAAATATCACCAAATACTTAGGTGGATTAGTTTTTAACGAAACAATCAAGCATTTTCAGTAGACCGCATGGAAAGCTTCGTAGAGCTCCCTATTTAATGTACCAAATAATGGAATATACGAAGAAATTAAGCGGAATCACAAAAAAGTAACGCGAAAGAGAGAGCAAGAGAAATACCAAAGGATGAACGGAAAAACAATGAAGCATGAGACCAGGAGATGAAAAGAAGTGGCAGAGAAATCAGAATAAGAATGGGAATCTAAGACGTAATCAAAGTGTTACGAAATGCAGGTTTAAAAGCCAACATACTATGAATAGATACGATACCTTATACCACTCATGATATCACCGATTGCGTAATGGTGGAGGAAGGCGTAGTGAAAAATAAAGCGTCGGGATTAATTTGTACCTACATTCCCATCTGTAGTCAAACAGTGGTAGATCTCCGTCAGAAGGACTAAGAAATTGTCACTTTTCACAGCGATACTAATCCATTCCTGCAGAACGAAAAGCGTGTTAGTGAACAAAATTAGACACTGTAACTATAACACAAAGCTTAACTTCAACGGTGCGAACATCGAAAAATCTACGGCCAGACTTTACAAAACGAATCTCTGGACTACGGTGACATGCTGTTCGAAGAAATCCTTTAGCTAATTGAAATTTGTGTAAAAAATACACAGAGTAACGAACTAGAAAAACCAACCTTTTCGTCAAAAACAGGCATGGAGACCCTTTAATCTGTATCTCGTCACGACCATTCATATCGTAAGTGGCCATCAAATTATCCAAGTGCTCCTCTCGCGTTAGAAGTGATATCCACCTACAAATAAATTGGATATCAGAAGCTCAACAGATCAAACACGTTGCAATTGTTGCAGAATAGATAAAAAGCCGAGGAAAAGCATTCAGGGATTGTCCTCAAACCTCAAGTTACGACCAAATTACACAATTATTGTAGAAATCAGACTCAGCCACTGAATGAATGCATTCTGCGAGACCAAGTGTAAACATGAAAATGGGTCCGGAACATTTTTTCTCTTGTAAAAATTTCACGGAATGGTTTGAGAAGTTATGACTAAGAAATCATCAAATGAGTCTTGATCGTCATCAAATGAGAATAGTTTAGTCTACACAAATAAGTGGATGGTAGACATGGCGCAAATATAGAACACTTGCTTGTAAATTCTTGTATATAAATTATTCTGATGGGAGGGGCACATTACGCTTCCATGTGAATTCTGTGCGGTTGGTCTCCATGCGACATGCTCAGTGGAAGACTCATAGAAAACGGTGAGTGTGCAAAGCTGTGTTCAACGTGATTGAAATATTTATTTAGCGTTATTTCTGCTTGGTTATGGAGGTGTTTGGTCGAATAAATCACTGTCAACTTAACCTTTCCAGGCTCTGAGGAAGACGAAATCCGCCGAAACGTCAGCCTGTTCATGAATAAAGAATAAAATAACACCTCGCGTTTGCTCAACGAGAATACGAAGCAAATTTTCTCATCACCAAAGATTGACGTAACAACAAACATTACTCAAGTAAAAACAACAGTAGATACCTTAACGGCTCCACCATAGCCTAATAAGTGTCCTGTACTATAACGTAGCTCTTCTCAGCGAAACGAATGTTGTGAAGGCAAGATTGGGATTTTTCTAATGTTTTCAATGGTCTATGCACTCGCACTGGACGCTTCCAAACTAGAATGAGTGAAACCAGCGCTTATGGCATCTCGATTCCGAACCATTCGAGGGCAGTCCCAAACAAATTGAACGATTTCTTCACCATCCGAACACTTCGTGGGTTCAGTTTGACTGCGCATAATGGTGATGTACAAGTGTGGAGTCGAATTATTTTTTTTTTGAATTAAAAAAACACAAGGCGTAGCCTGTGTTGTTTAAATTTTTCGGATTAGGCTTTCAAAAGTATTTTTTGACAACTAATAAACTGGAAACGCACACACTCAAGTGATAGGGCAAAGGAAAGAAGTACGTAGGAGAGCAGACGAAAAACTGGTGTCTGATGTGCCAGCAAACTCCGTCTTTTCGGAAATTCGTAGTACTTTCGATTTTATCTGTAATCAACTTAAGCATACTACGGTGCGTTTAACTCATTTAGGGACGAAATATGGAGTACAACGAATTGTAGACGTCGTGAAGAAACAAAGATAAAAATTTCCAATGATGATAAAAACTGCACGAATTACACGAAGGATTTTGATGTTACTGATCGATGGCTGACGTTTCGGCGACTTCGCCTTCCTCAGAGCCGTGATGTTACGTGCGGGATTCCCGACCCAACGTAGCAAGAGCTGTTTCGTTGTCAGGGGAATGAGCCCCAATTATATTATTGTGCTCAGTGCATGATACATACGCATATATTGCTGTTTTCCTGAGTAGAAGGGGAGACTGTTTGTTGGATGCGACTCCTAACCGCCTCCCATATACTTCCTTGTCACTTGATGCCTTTGCCCGAACAGAAAATCTGCATAAACGAAAACGCACCCACACCCGCATATATGAATAAACTCTCGTAAACAAAGGAGATCCTCCCAACGGTTCACCTCCTCACTGTGATTAGGTGGTGTTCCTGGGTGTTGTACTGCGATATGGAGCAAGCGGATTCATCCTCCCATTAGGGTTTCCCAAGCTGAGAAGAAGTTCGACGTTTGCATGAGGAAGCCCAGTTAAGAGCAAACGAATTTCAAGATCCATAACAGTTCTGGTATCCAACAGGTCGCACGGTAGCAACTCCCTCTCTGATCAACAAGGGTGGCGATTGCTGCCAGTGGTGGTGACGATCTGGGTCAGACTTGTCCTTGCTTACCTCGGCACTCCAGGGAACAACGATGGTTAAACCGGCAAAATTCTGAAACAATAGAAATAATGCTGGGGCGCGCATGACCAGTAAAGACGGATCATCCAACTATCCAAGTGTGTAAACAAAGAAGACATGTGCTAAAGCAGCGGATTAGAAAATAATATCAGACAAATCAGTGCTTGTGGCATCTCGATTTCGAACCATTCGACAGTAGTTCCGAATTGAACTGAACGATTGCTTCAATCCCCGAGCACTTGGCGGCCTTAATTTGACTGTGCACAATGGTGATGTACAACTATGCGATCGAGCCATTTTGTCAAAAGAACATGTAAGACACTATCACATTCCTCAATATGAATGACACATCAATTGTTTTTAACGGCTGATCACAGAGACAGAGGTGGTAGCCAAAGGAACACAATCTTCTTCGCGCAATTCAATGGAAGGAGAGCGCAAAACATAAAAGAGTTGTATTTGGCAATGTTCAAACAATAAGCATTATCTCATGGAACTAAGCTTCTCACCGACATTCTCAAAACCGTTCGCCACTACAGTACCTTGGTTAGGAAAAGCAATTGATTTCCTGTACTATACACATCGAAAACATCTCCAAAAACTAGAACACTTCAAAGTGGACCACAACGCCTGTGAACTAGGAAGAAAGCCAGAGTAAAGACGTCAATAAAGATATGGGCAACGGTCACTAAATGCGAATGAACATAGAGAGATTACAAAACTAATCGATTTCTGTGGACAGTCAACAAAGAACCTTAGAGCCAGGTGTGCTTTGTAAAGCCTACGCTCAGTGAGGGCAGAGGCTACAGATGCGGGACGGTAGCTCCATCGGAAGATAATTCGAAGAAGAATCTCAAGAGGTAATTGCAGATTACGACACAGAAGCCTGATAAAGACAAGCGAAAAGGAAAAACTAGGACACTTGCTTTGGAAATTCAACACAGTTGTCCTGGGCCAAAACACCACAATAATTCCATCGTACAGAATGGATAACTTACTAGGTTCGCGCAGCTCTACAGTTCCCATTAGGTTTGAGTCTGATACTTTTCACCTGAGCTACACTTTAAAGATTCAAGCTGTCCTGCTTTCAAGACTTGGACGACAACGTGTCAGCTCGACGGACTGAATGAGGCACATATGAGTTACAAAAATAGCAAACAAGTGTTAGAAGGTCTTAGAAGGTCTCCGTAACATAAGAAAAATCATTTATCACTACAAGATCAGGTTTTTTAGAAATATTTTGTACTATAAGAGATTTCAGACCATAGTGAGCTTATTGGTCAGACAGCCATCCCATATCACCCACATGACAAGTCAATTTTTTGATCCGTAAGTCTTCAAATGAACTTTTAGACTGCTTTAATCACAAAATGCCTTAATTGAGTTAAATATTGCAGAAGAAACAGCGAAATTCAGGTCTTTTAAAAGAAAGTTGGAGAACCAGAAGATACCTCGTCATCTATGACAAACTGTTAAATCTAGGAAGAATGAAAACATTTTCAAAGAGACAGAGGTTACCAGGTACTGGGTACTTTGAAGCGAAAACAGTCTCCTTTATGTTTAGCTCCTCAATGTTGTTAGGCGGTCATATTTCTTCAGTTTTCCTACATAAAAAGTAAACTAGGAACTTCCATACTTCACCAGAGGAAACGAAGAAACAAGATGTACAGCGATTAGAATTAAAATTATCAACACTCGAAGGTGGGACTTCCGAGGTCGAACGACGGAGCGCGTCAACAGTGGGTACGAACGATTCGGGTGACAATCGCCTGAAACCAATAAAAACAAGCAACTCGTTGATATATCTTTTCATTCGTTGAGTGATTAGACTAGATCCATTGGATAAAGTGGTCTGGCATAGTTTTTCCCTCCATAGGATCCCTTCATCATTAACAATCTCAAACACTGAACAGGGAGTGTTAAGGGGTGAAATAATCGGTATCATCATAAGCAAAATCAGATACTCTGCCAGAGTTGAGCTTCAGGACTAGAATGACAATGTAGGCCGCAAATGAGGAAGGAAGCCTTAAATTCAACGACAATGATAAGAACATAAAGTGTGAGCTAGCAAGTCGTCTACTGAAGTCGCTGAAATATCCATCGCGGAATGCCAATTTGTGCGTGGTCACGTAGTAACTTGAGAACTGTAGTTAAATGATGAATAGTGAGATCGCGACTATCTGGAGGTGACCTCGGGGAACCTTCAGCGAGTGCTTAGAACTTCCGTTCTCCGCAGTATCTTTCTGCAGTACATGAAGGTTCGGTTGCATTATAACTATCTACACTGATTAATTCGTAATCATCAGCTTTGATGAGAAGAATCTAGTTGACACTATCACTAAACAGTCCATTGCCCCTCTTTTTAATTTTATCTCACACAAAGGCAGAGTGTCAAACTTTCGTTTACGTGGGATTCATCTCACAATTAGTTACAACCTCACTACAGCTGAGATGTCGCTCGCTGAGGAAGTTTGATGCACAATAAGCGATTATTTGAAAGAGGACAATGAGTATTTTGCTGAAATGGTAGTGATCTTCGTGTTCCCGAAGTAAGCTGCACTCACTGAGCAGCAAAAGTACACGAAAGAAAGGAGTGGAATTCATTGATGAAAGCCGGGTGTTCGAAGAGATAACACCTGACACAGCTGATGGCCTACATGGCGTCCTAATAAGAAAAATTAACATTTTCAACAAAAAGCAACCACTTTTTTGATAACTCGAGGACTTATCAGGTTGAACATAGGATATGGCTATAGAAGAGGTTTTGCTCTATTGCTCTAAGGTCTAGGGGTGAACGTATAAGAACACGGAAGAGAACTGAGTAATGATCGATGATAGTGAAAAAGCTGCAGATTTTGAAGGCAATGTGCAACCACATATGATTCCGCTATAATAGTGAAATCTAAGCTAAGTGGATTAAAGAGACGAATGTGTTAATGATGATGTCGCGGTGAGTGGTCTAACAAAGCATTGTAGCGGTGGTAGTCACCGATGCATGAATCTTGTAGTGGCCCTTGTGTCACTTACTACTTTGTAGCTTTCAGTGGTTGAGTACTAAGTTGAACTCAATACAAGGTAGTGTAGATATTACGAATAGCGAACGCCTCAGTGGTACAGTGGATAAGAGGTGAGCTCCACGGAGACATAATCGCAGGTACGAATCTAACCTGGGATCTAAGTTCTGCAATTATATCTTAGAACTGAGAATGTGTTTCACACAATACCTTCCCATGAGAAAATAATGGGCAGTATATAAAAACCTATACATTGTGTGGTGACCATTAACTAGTCATTTGTGTCTCTGCTCCACTCTCTTCTTAGTGGGACTGATGTATAAAGTTGGAAAACTATAACAGCTAGCATTCTTTCAGGTATAAAATGGAAAAAAAAGCAACTCTCTAAGCCTAGTAAAACTTAGTGTAACATCAACCCAGTAAATAAAGAGAAAACAAAGTAAATTAGAGTTTTATATGTTGTATGTTTGAAGGGATAACACCTGACACAGTGGTGCTATAAACTTTAATTTGCAAAGAGTTTTATATCAATGAAGAGTTGTTCAGCACTGAAATTTGAACATAGAAAGAATGAAACGACAATAACTCGCGACCTCGTTCACTTCAATCTTTCAAGGTATCTTAGGGAAGGTTCAGAGTAATCGCTGTCGTTCTTTCCAAGTGGCCTCTCTCTTTTTCCTTATGTGAAACTACGGAAATTACGAAAAAAAAAACACGATAAAGCAAGCCAATGTGGCAGTTATAGAAAAGGAATTTTAATTCTAACCATCTTAAGTTTAACCAAACGAGAGAAATGGAAACATTCGCAGGCATATGTACTCTTTGCATTTACTGGATATCCTGACGATTCAATTGTGACCTAGTCCTTGGCCCTCATACTGAGAAATAACACAACATGAAGCATAGTTATCTAAATACCTGGAATTATAGCGACCACCTGCGTCCAATCGACATTCGATCAAGAATCGGTCACGTTGGATCGATGTAAACTGAAGGGAACAGAATGGGTAGAACCTGTGTGGGATCCTGAAAAAAATCGTCAGCCAGCAATTTCAAGACAAGCACACTGTGCGAGAGTTACTGAATAAATATATCCCCTTATAACATGTTTTTGTGGAATGATGCGTCGAGAAAACAGAAATGCAGACCACAGACAAAGTTTTCAAATAATTTTTTTCGTATTTTTGTTGAGCAAACGCGAGGTGTTATTATTCTTTGTTCACGATTAAGCTGACGTTTCGGCGGATTTCGCCTTCCTCAGAGCCTGGAAAGGTCAAGTTGATAGCAAACCACTCGGCCAGACGCCTCCATAACCAAACAAAGAAACTCCAAACCAAGATTTCAACCACTTTGAACACAGCTTCGCACACTCACCGCTTCCTATGAGGTTTCCATGCCCAACAAAAATCCGAAAAAAATTACTTGTTCAATGCCGAGGTTAATAGAAAGTCGGTCGTGAAAGTTTTCAAATATTGCTGTTGTACAACAGAGTTCTTTCAGTGCTCAAACTACCTGTTTCGAAGGTATCTATAGGGACCGCTACGAACGACGAAAGTGAACCGAGGACGATGAAGCTCAGCATACACTGTTATGATTTCAAGTTCATCTCCAAATTCCCGGATCCAATGAGACCTTAACTGCGAAATGTACCTGAACTCCAGCGACGGTATTCTAGCTGGTATATCACAGAAAAAAAATCATAAGAAATCAAAAACCTTTCAATCGACAAGTAGAGGCATAAGAGGCATTTTTATTAGCACAACGAATTCGCGACTGTATAAAAAGAAAAATTCTCCTCGATGGAGTCATACGAAGGCAGGTGAAGACTACAATCATTATACACGAATGTTTAACAACGAATGATAGCACTATTTTCGAAACAACATCCTACAAACAAACGATCCTTAAAAGAGGTATTCTAACCGTCCAAAAACTAATACAAAAATAACGAAGAAATGCATAATTTAACTACTTCTTAGTCACCGAAGCAGAGATCATTCCAGGGTTTCGAACCACACGAAGAAAAAACTAGGGAAAAAAAAACAAAATAAAAGGATACCTAGGACAGAATAACATAAAAATTTCTCTTGAACGACTACAAAAGACCACATCGAATATGTGAAACAGAAATAGCTACAAGCGAAAATAGAGACGTTGTACCTTTTAGACCAGGAGTGAACGGCCATATACACTTCCTCGTCAGATCCATGCTGAGCAGCGGACCGCCCCTCCCTTGATTGCACCGTTTCCTTCAAAACTTCAGTCATCAGTAGGATTTACAAAATTTCTACAGTTTTCGAAAATGGTGTGAAGCATAGAGAATGAACAAAAAAATGTGCCTCAAACGTCCTAAGTGACTTCGTAATCACATTAGCCAGCTCATTGACGTTATCAACATGCCAAAAAACTTCTAGATTACCTCGAATAGGTCAGATCGCTCGCTATACTGACGTTGTCGTGCTCTGATTATAAACGAACGCATACGATCATTGACATGTACAACTAGATCGGCTTCGTATTCATAACCTGACGCAAAGTGACGTCGCAACAGTGCTAATGATGACTAGCCCGCATAGACAAGAAACGCATAATCATCCACTGAGCAACCAAATACTGTCTAACCGACAAGAACTTACCACGAAAAAGGTGGAGCAGTTAACAACGGAACAAATCGGATTGCTTTCTTCACCTTTCCAAGAAATACCGAGTTCTTGTAAACATCCAAGGCCACTACTGCATCAGTCTTTAGTCAGACCAAAATGCGATATTTCGAAAACAATTCGGCATATTCACAAAGTGTACTGATTTCAATTCGCACATGATGGGGCATTTTCAACAACATGTCCTGATTTCGAACGATTTTCTCCACAAATATTTCATTCGTCCTAAAATTTTTTGGAACATCTTTAATATTAAACCGAGCACTTCTATTCTACATATACTGAGGACGGCAGAGTTCCGGAAGAGTTGTTTTCCATGAATTATAATTTATCGAAAACACAGTAAACGACGAAGCTTCCCGAGCCGATCAACACACGAAGAGTACGCTATGCAATGAACTTTCTCAAGCGCCGCTATAGAAGACTGAAAGCATATCTGCCACTGACTCTTAGTGGTCTACCCATTTATCAAAACGATTATGTCCCACTCGTTACAGGACGGCACTGAGGAAGACGAAAAAGCCGAAACGTCAGCCATCAACCAACAACACCAACAATAACGGCAACGAAAACCTATGCCAACCTCGAGTCAGCCCAACAAGATCAGTTCACAAGACCATTCAAAAGATATGTCAAATAAATCATTGCTTTACTCCAAGACAAGTCCGGCTGCAATTTGCTGGCTTCGAAGGGACCGAACGCTTGGCATAGACGGGTCGCAGGATCAAACCAAATACATGTCTATTGTGGAGCACCCTTACATGATGGTCTCCGACGCTCATCAACCTGAAGTAAACAGCTATGATGCTCTTTTGCAACAGGACCTTCTTAAGAGACTGCAAATTTGTATTTAGTTATGTCTTGTTAGTTATGCCTCTCAACAGTTTATTGCCTCATCGTGGCTGAGACGTGTTCCTGGGTGTAGGGCTGCGATGTACCGCGGAGGTATTCATTCACCCAGCATGTTCTCCCAAGCTGAGAAGGAGTCCGGTGTTTGCATTAGGAAGCCCAGCTGAGAGTACAAGGATCCGCATCGCCCTAGGATCAAACTACTCGCATGGTGGCAGATCTCCCTCTCATAAACAAGGGCGGCGACTGCCTGTGGTGGTGACAATCTGGGGCAGAATTTGGCTAGGCTGACCTAGAGACTCTAGTGAACTACAACAGTTAAACAGCGAAACTCCAAAAAATGGTGATTATCCTGAGGCCCGCACAACCGGTGATAGTGGACCATCAGGTATCCAGGTATATCTTGTTAGAGTAAAAATGGATGGCAAAGTCAAAGCTTACAAAGCTCATCAATTAAAAGTTCCATAGAAAGTCGGCAAAGTTAGAGGTAACGCTTCAACATTATGTTCAGCCTACCACGAAGAATCAGAATAAAGCATGAATCTCAAGCGCGAATACCTAAGCATCTTGTATCCATGCTGTGTCCGAGTCCATTTGCCTTCTGAACCCTAGGCAAGTGTCCCCGTGCGAAGTAGTGTTTGTGTTGCACTTGATCGTCGAGTTTAAACCGGTCTGAATGGAAACGAATGGACAACGAAGTCTAAAAAATCAGATCTGCATGAAACTATGGCCAGAAGATTAATGAAAGAGCGTATGAACGGGTGGCGAGAAAAAGTCGAAATTAAAATCAAGCGTAAGGAATTCAGAATAAAACACGGGAGCAACGTGGAGCAAATTTAAACAAAGAAAAAAGAAAACTGCAGAGAAAGAACGGAAGAGGAAGGCAAGTAAATAGTGAAACCGCTTTGAACACTACGATAATGTGAGACATCAACAGAGCCACTGAGAGTGAGATGGCAACGAAGGATAAATAATGATCCTCAAGGTCAAGCTATAAATGGTTCCAAGGAGACAGGATGGCTTTTAAGAACTCCTGATCTTGGGCAACTCAGTTAACAACATTGAGAGGTAAACAGCCCCATAATGGAGAAGGGAATCACAATAGTTCAACAAACAACAAATCGCCACAGTACCTGTGCTTTCCAAAACTTAATTCATCCGGCAAAACTACTTGAATGACATGGGATACCGTATGGAATTGATAATGACGTCTAGGGTAACCCACACGTTCATCTCTCGATAACAGACACCTCAACAGCTTCTGGCCAAAATCAGCATAAGGTCCATGATTACCAGGATTTCCTAAACATTTATACAAAGATTAAGTTAATAAAACGAAAAACAATGTTACAGGTAGCGAATCTCACCAGGTTTCATCAAAAATAACCACACGATTAGCGATGTTGTCTCTCATCTCACAAAAACTTTCACTCGAGGGATCCGTACTCATGACAGAAACGAGGGTCCAGCGGCCTCGTACGACTACCCAACCAACGCATCAGCCGATCTCGCACAGCAACCTGAAATACACGGCATTATCAAGATGGAAAGACGAATATCATCGAAAATCCATGCTACGATTGAGCGTATTGACACTTCAATAATCGAATCCGAAAAAATTAAGACTCACAAGTAGAAGTGAACGTTCAAATTTGTGGACATTTCAGCTGAACATCATCGCTGCAGTTGACCATGCTGTTCGCCACTCAGAGCTCGAATGACGAGCAGGTCTTTCTTCGAACTGTGAAACGACGAATGCCGAATTTTTCGAATTCCCACGCTCGCAAACGCTTTTCTCCGATGGTCGGACGTCTCCCTGAGGAATTCATCCCATCAGCTGCACGACAATGCCCGTTAACCGAGAGTAACAACTCGAAGACGAACGAAACGGCAACCTTCCCAACACCAACAGCACTTCTCAGACGTCAAATGTGATTTATATAAGCACTACTGAAGCCAAATCCTGCTCTATAACGTCAGAAATGCTAAGAAGAACTCTGAAATGTAAGAAGTTTGTACCACAGTGGGCGATTGCTGCTTGATAGGAACTTCCGGTTCACACGTCACTGACCCGTTTTGTTTTTACGTTAATAAGAAAAAAGGAGGAAAACCAAAGACACTTGATGGCTTAATGGAAACCCACGTAACTAACATTCAAATGACCCGCTTCCATGTAAAGTCGCGCGAAACCTATCACAGTTTGCATTTCATCAGTGTTCTGATAAGCGGGTGCGAGTTTTCCTTCTACTTGGAACCCAATCACAGCCATGCCGAACGGTACTCATTTGAAAGATATAAGCAAACAACTCTACGATCCGGAGTTTT